ATATTCCTTTTAAAAAAAATTATAAGTACCCCTTTTTAAAAAAAAAAAAAATTGTAAGTACCCCCTGTACCTACAGTTTTCGGAACCACAATTTTTTTTCCACTATAGCAACACATTTGTTTAAATAACTTGATCATAGCCGGGTGGGCGATGAAATTTTTGGGTGAAAAAAGGACAAAAAATAATAAAGCGCTGTAAAACTTAAAACAAAAATTCAGTTTTCTCCATGTTTCAGTTGTGTTGATGTACCCCCACAGACTTCTCTCAAGTACCCCTAAGGGTACTCGTGCCACTGGTTGAGAAACACTGGTCTACACTACTGCAATGGAGACTTACCTCATTACATACTAATGACCTCAGAAAACAATGAATTATAAGCTTCCCTTTGAATACAACCACAGGTTACATGTCCTGAAAAAAATGTTAGTGTAGCGATGGGCAACCTTTGGAGCACTAGGCTTTCACCTGTGGCCTGCGCATCCAGTCTGCCTCTCCCACATGCACTTGGGCACTGGAGTGCTGCACTTCCTACTCCTCCCTCTTGCTCCCCGCACTTTCAGAGCACAGTGAATTCGCGGATTCACTTCCTGTCCCTGCTCCTCCCCTGCCCTCCCAGAACTGGAACGCCACAAATCAGCTGTTCACAGTTGTGCACACTCTAGGGGTATGTCTAGACTACAGGGTTTTGTCTACAGATACTGTCGACAAAGCTTCTGTCGACAAAGAGCGTCTAGACTACATTCAGTTCTGTCGACAAAGCTAGCTGCTTTGTCGACAAAACCCTGTAGTCTAGACACAACCCTACATGCAATAACACCTTCTGTCGACAGAACTCTGTCGACAGAAGGCGTTATGCCTCGTAAAATGAGGTTTACCAGCGTCGACAAAACTGCTGAGTTCTGTCGACGTTATGTCGACAGAACTCAGTGGTAGTGTGGACGCAGGTATAGTTTTGTCGACAAAAGTGGACTTTTGTCGACAGGGGTGAGCTGGGATGAAATGCAAATTGGTGGATTCTTGACGCTCCAAAAGCACTGGGAGGGAGAGAGGGGGAGAAGTAGGAAGTGTGAGGCTCTAGGGCCCCAGTGCACAAGAGGCATGTGGGGGAAGGAGGTAGAGAGGTACCGTGCAGGCCACAGGTGGAACCATAGTGGCCACAGTTTGCCCACCACTCATGTAAACCCACTCACTAGTCTTGGTTCCCCATTCCTGCGCTAGAGGAAGTGCGAAATAGCAGAAACTAGGGGGAGGTGGGAGTAAGGTTAGATCACAAGTGGAGTAAAAAACTGACAGCTATGCCCTGTATGTCAGGCTAATTAAGTATACTGCACCAGTGGGAGAAGTACTAGAAAAGGAACATACAATTTTACACTGTACTGATATGCCTAGGAAGGAGTACGGCAGAAAGGGATCTAGGGGTTATAGGGGACCACAAGCTGAATATGAGTCAGCAGTGTGCTGCTGTTGCAAAAAAAGCAAACATGATTCTGGGATGCATTAACAGGTGTGTTGCGAGCAAGACATGAGAAGTCATTCTTCCACTCTACTCTGCGCTGGTTAGGCCTCAGTTGGAGTATTGTGTCCAGTTCTGGGCACCGCATTTCAAGAACGATGTGGAGAAATTGGAGAGGGTCCAGAGAAGACCAACAAGAATGATTAAAGCTCTAGATAAGATGACCTATGAAGGAAGGCTGAAAGAATTGGATTTGTTTAGTTTAGAAAAGAGAAGATTGAGGGGGGACATGATAGCCTTTTTCAGGTATCTAAAAGGGTGTCATAAGGAGGAGGGAGAAAACTTGTTCATCTTGGCCTCTGAGGATAGAACAAGAAGCAATGGGCTTAAACTGCAGCAAGGGAGGTTTAGGTTGGACACTAGGAAAAAGTTCCTAACTGTCAGGGTAGTCAAACACTGGAATAAATTGCCCAGGGAGGTTGTAGAATCCCCATCTCTGGAGATATTTAAGAGTAGGTTAGATAAATGTATATCAGGGATGGTCTAGACAATATTTGGTCCTGCCATGGGGGCAGGGGACTGGACTCGATGACCTCTTGAGGTCCCTTCCAGTCCTAGTATTCTATGATTTCACTGTGTTACAATTCAATCGGTGGAAAAATTCCATACATTGTCCAATTTTGAAGAGAAATAGGCAAACTTGGTAGGATTATACATTCAGTGTTTCAGGGTTAACTCTTTAAGTAGCTTCACTTTAAGACGCAAAGAAGTTAGTTCTAAAAAGAGAAGTGAAACAACTTGTTAAAACCACAAATTTAAAGAATGTATAGGTTTACACCTAAATACTAAAAATCACGCCAGTAGTCCAAATCCAGTCAAGTCAATAATGACTGACACTCAGCTAAATTCTAAAAATCACGCCATTAGTCCAAATCCACAGTCAAGTCAATAATGACTGACACTCATTACCATCTGTGGGCTCTTTGGTATTCAGTAATGAGTGGGATGTTCTGTCCTCTGAAAACTAGCTCTGATATTCGCATCAGAAGATGTACCACAACTGCTACCAATAGGCAACATGGATGGCACTCTCATCTAAGAGGCCCAGGAATGAATAGCAATGCTCTCTTTGGATCTAGGTTAGGTATCACTGTAGCTATGTAGAAAACTCCAATGTCCAAGACTACCATTCACAGGCATTAAAAATTTGCACAAATTATAACAACCTAATTCAAGTCAAAATGTTACTCTTACAATATTCTTTTGACTCAGATCTTGTCAGGTGAAAGAGAAGAGGGTCTTAACACACCTCCTCTCACCTGTCAAGACCTTCAAGTTAATTGCCAAATGACATCCTCAAAATAGAAGCCCTGTGTTTCTCTTCTCTGCTTTAGTTGTTAACAGTGTCATGGATTCTTGCAGGGGTAGTACAGAACCTTCAAATCAGGTCTTTATATTAAAATGAAAGGCTCTAAGTTAAAACATTTTTAATATAAAAATTATATTGATTCCTCCTTACCACCAAATTCTATTACTAATTTTAAGGCTCTTCAAACAGATTCCTCTCCCCTCCCCCCTTCAAAAAAGCTTTCAAGTTCACCTGTACAGGAAAGGCTGATGAGACAACTGAACTGACTCACTCTGCCAACAGCTATGAGCCAATGTCCTGCTTACAGAGCCTTCCAGATGGGGGGATGGAGAACATAGACAGTGGTGAATGCATCTGTCTGTTAACCCTTGGTTCATAGATACAGGAAGTGGAAATCACTTCTTTTGTATCATTGCTACTGATTTAGCACTGAGCCATCTGCAATGTTCTAATGGGATTAGTTGGCACGTCCAGAATTTAACAGGGCAGGAAGAGAAAATAAAGGGTTATAGTGATCATACTGCACCCCAGTGTACTATAGCACTAGAAGCGAGAAACTGAAGTTATTCAAGGAAATTTGGAGCAGTAACTGATAGCCTATCCTGCAGGCTTATTAGAGGCGACATTCATAAATGTTTGCAAAGCTTCTGGACTATGGAAAACTGATAAACTGTTAGGATAAAAACAAGGGAACATGCACATGTAAAGAGAAACATTAGATTTTACATTAGGATAACCTAACAGTTAAAATACCAAGGAAAAGATTGCACTTTCCCAAACGTCTTCTTACAAATTTGTGAGTAAATCCTGAGGGCTTCCCTCATTTTTTACTCAGACATAACTTTCACTACAGTAAAACCTGAACTAAACCACAAAGGTATGTGTATAGTGCTAAGGTTAAAACAGCAGTGCAGCAAATCCTGGCTATTAAATTACTTTAACTTGAGAGCTAAGCAAAGATGCTGTCGCCTTCCAAAATAAGCCATGTGTCCCTTGTTGCCACACCGTGAAGCTCAATTACAGCCACTAACAGATAATATCAATTCAGAACTCTAAGGCATAGCCACCTGTGACATAGCACATTCTGAGTCACGGAGGAACAGTCTGGGCAGATTTCCATAAAACACATGCTAGTGCACGCGATACTTGTCCCATCTTGATAATGCCCAGAACAAAGTTTTAAAACATGGGGTCAGAGGAAGACACACAATCATCTACCTTGGCTCTGCACCCAGCATTCTGTGCATCTCTCCCCACTCTTCTTTCCAGGCTCAGAAACCATTTATTCTAACTGCCAACATTTTTACCTGGTTAATTTTAATCTGATGACCCACTTGCACTAGCATGTAAAAATAAGAGTAGGACAAAACCTGATACAGTCTCACATCCTATTTGCTGGAGGACTTTTTCCGCATACATTCCATTCTTTTGAAAACATCTTTTTAAGCCACACCTTGATAAAGCCCTAAGGGACCAAAATGTGCTTAGTTATACACTTTGTTGCTGCGCCGGGAAGCACACAAGCTGACTGCACCTTGTTTCGCTACATACCACTGTTAATAAGTGAGTTACCCCAGTTTACACCAGCATAAACTGGAATCAGATTCTAGCCCACAGAACCTTCAACGGCCTGATAAAATAGGAAGAGTCACAATAATATTTAGAGCTATCCACCCACATTAAAAGTGACTGTTAAAAAGTTAGTATGCATCTATTTGGATTCCTGATGCATTTCATTCAGTACCATATTTCAATAAGTAGTTATATTCCTTTTCTTCACAAATACTGTATATTCAGCTACTGTCACCAAGTCAATGTTGTGTTGCCTTTCATTATCTGAGATTGCTGTGGCATGAATCCCATTATAATAAACAGATGATAAAAACAAATATTACACACTGACATACAATACCACAAGCGCTAATGTCTCTTATTGGGGAAAAAAAAACCATGAGATATTTAAAAAGAAACCAACAAAAAAGAGACCCAGTCCCAAACCATAAAACCATCATCTGTCATGTTTGAAAGAATCTTGTTGCTATTAACAATGAATCAGAATAAATCAAAACTAAACTTTCATTAAGCACTGGTACAAACACAGAGACTGCGTATCCATATCAAAAGGTTTCGATTTTATTAAAACAAAGAACATGAAAAAAGTCAACAGATTACACTTACTTTAATGTACATATAGTCTAAATCATCTACCACCACCCAGTACCTCTGGTGGTACACGCTTCCAGCATCTTGCACCTCAGTCATAGTTTCCTTTTCATGTGAAAGGAATTTACTCTGAGTGAAGAATATTTCCACCTTGTTCGCACTTGGTCTGCAGTAACAACTAGGCCAGCCGCAGCCTCTCTCTCTTATCTCTGCAACATAACTACTAAGATCATCTTCTTTTAAAGATATGCATTAATAACCCATGAAAATCTGCAAGGAAAACGTGTGACAAGCCAGGCTGGGGCAATGAATTGCTTCATTGTTTAAGTGATTCACCATATTTTAGCTTATTTCTCCAGGGACACAAAGAGTGAGTGTGTTTTTTTGTTTAAGACACTAAAAAAAAATGGCAGAACCCACTGTCTTGTGATAATCAAATGGAGAAACTAGAAAACATAAGTAATTCCAGTACCAATGAATGATTTATTTGTCTTATCTGTTTTCAATAAGGAGCTCATATGCAAATATCTCAAATCTTACAGAAAATACACGTTACACTTTTCCCTATTTAAAACTATATTACAAACCTGCAGTTTTCATTTAACTACAGGTACACTGAAAACATGAATTGGAAGAACCTTTATGCACCAAGATAACTGAAGTTATAATTTTCCCCTCACCTGTTACACTGAAGACTAAAGCAAGGTATGAGACATATAGTAGCATTGCTTCCATTTTGCATTTAATTTTGTAACCCAGACTATCATCAGACCAGGAGAATAGGTAATTTAGAAGGCTCTCAATTGTATAAATTGTGCTTATGCCCAGGGGTGGCCTGAGGTGGGCTGTGTCAGCTGGCGCCCCAGGCGGAACGCGCGATTGGCACCCCCGCCTGCACAGCCCTCAACGACGTGACGTCATCATTGGGCACCCCGGGCGCCTCGTGACATCATCATTGGGCATCCCAGGGACCCTGTTGAAGGCGGCGCCGTAGGCCACAGCCAAGTTGGCCTATACTCACGGGCCGCCCCGCTTATGCCATACATCTCTCAATAACTAAACCAACTCAATAAGCCAGTTCTCCTGTTAATTATTAGTTCCATCTTAATTAATTTTGTGCTAGCCATAGCTGTAGCAGAAGCCACTATTTCATGGAGGTTAAAAGTCAATTGAAGATTACAGACTTGATAAGCAACCGGGAAGAAATAAGGAAGGTATTAAACAGAATTCATTAATAACACTTCTACCAAACAGCATGATGGTAACAAGCCTGAATATACTCCTGCAATTACACTTGGATTAGACCTCTTCTGGTCAATATCTGCACCCTCGTTGTCAAGCCTATATAACGAGTGCCAATGTGAGGCCTGCAACCCAGAAATATATCCAATTCAGCATGTGGCCACATAGATTTTTAAGAAAGAGAGGCAGCCTTAGAAGACTCTGCTCCACCTTGCAAGGAACTATAATGGATTCCACATTAAAAGGGAGAGCAAATGCAAGTGAAGTGCAGTCCTCAACTCTTCCCAAGTTACCAATGAACCCATCACTGAGCAAAGTTTCAGCTTCCCTACTCTTACACCACTACCTTTTATGCTTCTGTCCTTCCAACGCTTGCCACCATTGGCAGGTGGAGATGGCATTAAGCAGTTAGTGATGGTGTCTGTTTTCAAAACAATTCTATTGTGCTTCCCTTCCTCCAGACACACCAGCCCCACCTCTCTCCCTCCCCAGCTGCCCGACAGGGAGCCCCTCCCCCCCCCCCCCCCCCCCCCCAGCCACCCCAGACCTGGCTGGCCCCAGCTCTCCCCCTGACTCCAGCCATCAGGGAAGGTAGAGGGAAAGTAGAGCCAGCCCTGGCTCTACCTCCTTCTCCCCCAAGCTGTGCCAGCCCCAGCTCTCCCCCACCTCTCCCCAGCCACTAAGGAGGGCTGAGGCCTCACCAGGTCCCGTGCTCTCCCCCTGGTCATCAGGTCGGAGAGGGTCCGGGCCAAGGTCTCACCTGACCCTGCACTCTCCCCCCAGCTCTCACCCAAACATCAGGGAAGAGGGAGGCCACGGTGCAGCAATCCTGGCTCCCGAGCACTGGGGAAAGGGTGGGGAAGGAAGGAGTAGGCAGGCGGGATGCAGAGTAATGTGATGATGTCACTGTCATCCCGCAAGAAAAATAATTTTAGAGTGAGAGAAATTACAGTACACATTTTGCAAATAGGAAAAACAGAAGAAATGAGGTACCCAGAGTCACACAGCATATTAGCGGAGACCAGAATAGGAGTCTTGACTATTAATCTTCTAATGTAACCACTAAATTCTGCCCCCATTTTCTTATTGATACTTGGCCCTGGTGTTACCATCGTTTCCTCTTCTAATAAACTCAAAGGAGCTGTAGCCCAAGCACAAAGACTTTATTACTATTACATAGAAATGTTCTTAGATTGTCTTTCTTTCTCTAATTAGTTTGGGCCAGGAAGTGAAACCTGCATCACTGGTCAGCGTGAGCTGGGACTGCTCAGTCTCAGATCGCACTGGGTCCCCTGCTGCACCTCTGCCCCCCACCAAAGACAGCGCTGGGGGGAGCCAGCTTTTAAGCCAGCTCCCCCCAGCACTGGCTCCCGCTCCTCCCCCTTGCTCCTCTGATACAGAGGCAGCAAGGATGGGGGAAGCGACTAGTCAAGCAGTGACTTGACTACCCAATAAGCCTACGCTAGGCTTATTGGGTAGTCAACTGCTCAACTAATAGCTTATATCCCTAGGTAATAAGTTGTTCCTGTGCCTCAAGCATGCAGTGCACCAAGATCTCCAACTCAAAGGCTCAGGATGCTTTTCTGTTGGCAAATTACAGAGCCATTCAGTGTCTCACAAAGTGCTGATTCAGTATGTGCCATACAAAGATGGTGCCCACACACAGAGTGAAAGTCAAAGAGTAGTCCGTGTTAAAAGTAGTCAAGCCCATTAATTATGTCATTGACACAACTACTGTCTGGAAAAATTGGACACCACACTGGAAAATGAACAGGTTTTGCTATAAATAGTCAAAGCTCTTTTCTTGGCAGCAGGAGAAAAGTATTTATACCCAAGATACTCACCATTAAGGATTTATCAAGGAAACACCCCAAGAGGCATTTTCATTTGTTTCCCACTTAGATTATTTTGGGGGTTTGGGGACCATAAAGTTATCTCCTAAAATTAAACACAATTCAAATTATGGCTTAACCCTTACAAGCATGCTTAACTTTACACACTGTAATTACTTCCACTGAGGTAAACAGAAATACAGTGAATAAAGTTAAGTGTATGCTTAAGTGTTTGCAGGATAAAGGCCTAGGCAATGCCAAACAATACCCTGAGAATAAGGCATATTTTCAAATAGCTGGAAATCAAACAGCCTTGAGCCCAATGACAGCAATAGTATGTGTTAAAGTCCCAATCCTGGATGGTTAAAGTCAATGGAGCTTTGCTATTAACATCAATGAGCATACAGTCAAGCCCTAAGAACTCAAACATGTTAGCTTCCATACTGGGTGCAGCTCAAATGTGAAACCAGTCAAGAAGTTGCTCAATCCCACAAACACAGGGTGGTATATTGCTTACTTCCATAAAGCCATGGGGATTGCTCACAGTAAGTAGCAATCACTATCTCATCGTGAGTAGTTTCAGGACTTTTTTTTCAAACATGCAAACACCACCAAATAGTAAAGTAGAGACATCCTGGAGTTCATGGTCTGCCTTTTCCCAAGCATGCACACAAGACAAACCACTAATAAGCCAGGAGAGTTCCTGCTGTCATGGTTCACAGTGAAATTGGTTCAAATACTGCTCTTGCCTCCATTCAGTCACCAGAAAGAATCCCAAGACACCAATAAGGAAGGAGGGAACAAAACAGACTACAGAATCCATGATTTCTGTAAGAAACTTACAACTCCCGACTACACCATTGGCATACAGGCCAGAGTACCAGGTTTGCCAGATTTTGCTTCTCAAAGGCTATGTCTACATTACACTGCTCTTCAGGAAAAATCTACGTAAATTGCGAACCACAATTGGAGTAGCTTTTTATGCTTCTTTTTTCGGAAGAGGCTTTTCTGACATTTGGCCCATCTACCCTAGGCCAAATGTTGGGGGGAAAAAAACTTTCGGAATATCCCTTCTTCCTCATAGAGCATGCCTGCTCTTCTGCAAAAAAAAGCAGAAGAGTAGATGTGTTCCCTGGAGGCAGCAGAGTTTTTCCAGGATGTATCCCAGAAAAACTCTGTAGTGTAGACATAGCCAAAGTGAATTGTCTATTCACATGCCTATGTTCATGTTAGGTTCAAGTGCTCAGGACATAAGCAGGGATACAAACAGTTCTATTAACATTAGGCTTTGTATTTTAAATAACTGGCACCTCTTAAATCCACTGAAGAAGCTACCATGGGGGGAGGGGGAAGTCTAAAAGCCATAGGGGATAGCTAGCCTGTGGGGTAGTCTTTACAGGAGGTAATTGCCAGTTAGGCACTATTTCCCCACACATGGAGAAAATCATGCAGTCCCCACACCATTACACTGTCACCTTTGACTTTTTGTGGAAGTCAACTGTACTAACACATACAGTTGATTAAATACATTTGAAGAAGCAGACCATCACATATGGGAATTCTGTTTTAATACTGTGAACCACTGCTTGGATAGAAGCAGTTTAGTGTGTAACTTTCGATAGTACAAATTATTCAACAGGAGAGATATACATGGAGACAGATGATGTTAGTAAAACACTGGGCCACTGTTTGAAATTTGAATACAGTCGTGTTTGCCTGATTTATCTCCCTAAGTCTCCTGCCCAGACCTTACCAGGGCACATTAGGTAGTGGAAGGAGCAGCGCTGACTCTTATTCACATTTATTTGTATAGGGCCAATAACTTGTCAACTAGAAAAGCTAGGATTTATCTAATTAAAAAAAACACTAATTAATTACCTAATCCCATCTGGTGTGCATTACAGAGTCACTGCAACAGAAACACACATACCTCGTGACAGCTACATTTACAGACACTTACTTTGCAATGATTTCTGATGATACTGGAAGGTGACGTGAACCCACCATAATCCACTAATACTACTGAAGGGTAAATTGTAT